CTCTCTCCGATAAGGTTCCAGAAGCGGTGAGCCCAAACAGCGGTCACAGTTCTGTTAGCATGATGGCCGGCTGCCATCCCACAGAGGCCGAAGGCCACCTAATGCAGTCCGCTTGTATGAACTCCAACGTTTTGGACATGATTAACGCGGCGGCCAAAGGCCCCGATAAGGATCTAGCAGGACAGGTGAAAAAGGTGTCGACCCCAACGGGGGTAGAGGACCGACTCAACGGGAAGCAACTGGAAGGGAAAAGTCCGAGCACAGGGTTAGTGGAAAGCGACAATGACCCCAGCAAGACCACCTGCGAAGCCTGCAATATCACCTTCAGCCGCCACGAGACGTACATGGTCCACAAGCAGTATTACTGCGCCACTCGTCACGATCCTCCCATGAAACGGATGTCCGCTAATAAGGTGCCCTCCATGCAGAGAACCATGAGGACCCGCAAGCGCAGAAAGATGTACGAAATGTGTCTCCCCGATCAGGATCCCCAGAGGATCCCTATGGGTCAGCCGGGTTTCCTCGGAGTTCCTCCGATGAACCCGTGTACATCTCAGGAGGCCGTGGAGAGCCTAGCAGACCGCTTCCACCCCCGCTGTGATATCTTCCCTGGCATGGTACCCAAACACCTGGAGGCCTCTCTGACTGTCACTAAGCCTATTCTGCCTCCCAAATGCAGCACCGGGGAGCAGCAGGAGCTGGACGCACCCATTGATCTCAGCAAAAAATGTTCACCTGTCCCAGATAAGACGTGTAGCTCTCCCAAAAGACTTTTGGACTATCACGAATGTGCAGTGTGCAAGATAAGTTTCAACAAAGTGGAGAACTACCTGGCACACAAACAGAACTTTTGCCCTGCGACAGCTGCTGCCACAGCTGCTGCTGCTGCAGCTCAACAACAGCAGCAACACAATGAAGGCAGCACCTTGGAGTCTGCTATGTTCCCAGATGTGAAGAGTGAAGGGAACAACAGCCCCGATGACGGTTACGATAAGAGCCCTGGCAAATGTGAGAAGAACGGAAATGGGAAGGTGGCGGTGCAGAATGGAGGCATGTTCCCCCCTCACCTGGCGCCCGTGCCCGGACTTAAGCCTTTCACTGAGCCTCAGCTCATCCCAACAAAAGACGAGAACAAGAATATGTTTCTGCCCCACTGCCTTTATCCAGGAGCAATAAAGAAGGCGAAAGGTCCTGAGCAAATATCGCCGTATTTTGGGATAAAGCCGACAGATTATGTGGCAGGAGGGCCAGCGGCGCAGGGAGAAGCAGGAGAACAGGAACAGAGCGTCAACGGCGGAGGAGAGACAGGAACCACCAGAGACCAGGCCCCACAGCCCACAGCAAACGGCTGCCCCCACCCAGGCAAGGAACCCCTTCCCCTCCTGCCCAAAAACCGGAGCATGGTCATCGTCAACGGGGGGCACAAGGCGGAGGAGCGGTCAGGCACGGCGCCTCCGCAGCAGGAGAACCAGCCCCAGTCAGACAGCCAACCCTCCAACCCCTCACCCACGTGGGGCGCCGAAAATCAGGCCGACTCCAACGAGAACATGTCCCCATCTTCCAAGTCCCCCGGCGAGGAGGCGGCGCCGGCGGCCAACAAAGGCGTGAACGGCTCGGGGAGCGGCAAATACTGCCGCCTGTGTGACATCCAGTTCAACAACCTATCAAACTTTATTACCCATAAGAAGTTTTACTGTTCATCTCATGCTGCAGAGCATGTCAAATAAGCTGAGAACACCAGGACCCTTCCTTTTCCTTCCCCTCCACCTTTAAACCAGACTTCTCCTCCTTTTTCCCCCCCCCTCTGTTTTTGGTACACTGTTGTGTCTGGAATAGTGCATCATGCAGTGCTAAACGCTGCTTGTGGACAATCAAGAGAAGCTTCTTCTTTCATCGTTTTAAGACTTAAAAATGCAAACCACCGGTTTGGGTGAAAAAAAAAACAAAAAAACACAAAAAAATGAAGAAAAGAAACGAGAATCAAGAATAATATTGGTGCCACGTTCACATTAATTTATTTTACAATCAGTATTACTAGGAGTAGTGATCTTAATTTAAATTCAAAAATGAAATTTATATCAGAGTTGTTTGTAATGTTATTGTATAGTCATTCTTGTGTAGCACACATATTGTTTACACTGTAATGTAGGCTCAACGAAACAAACAATACAAAAACGACGACGCATTTTAGACTCAAAATAGCTACTGAGGCACTTGTGTATTCTTATTTGCTGTACCAGTTTCCGTATGCTCAAAATGTCTCCTGCAGATGACAGCTAACGACTCGTTCGTCTTATAAAACCACCGACCGAAGGCGGTTTCCCGGGCTCGGCCCTGCATCTCACATTTTAGCATACGTACATGGCTTTGCATACATATGTGGCTGTTTGTCCTCGTCTCTTTCGTTCAACTCAAATGTGGATGTTTTCATGAGGATGACGACATTCTTGTATAGTACTCGTATTTCTGTTGAATGATACACTTTGGTCTCCCTTTTTGAAATTTGCTCTCAATGCAATACTTTGTAAATGGGGGAACATTACTGATAGCAGTATTATGACACGGGGACTGTGCATATAATTATTTGTTTCCCCAAAAACAAGAAAAAAAGGAGAAAGAAAAAAAAGACGCTGTTGGAGAATGAAGTTTATTGCTGAAGAACAAGTTGGGAGTGAGGTCAGTGGGGAAAACTGATGTAAAATGATCATTCCAATGTCCTGATTATGGGAGAAAATGTTTCTTAAAACGTTGTTGCTATGCATGTATATGGATGGAATTAAATTCCAGATCTGTTGGAAATTTTTATTTTGATGTGGTGTCATAATTAAACTTAAATCCTCAGGATAAACAAGTGGTCTTTGTTCATTATTTCTGAAGCATTAGCTTTAGCTAATGCTAGTATGTTAGCAAGAAAGCTAACAAAAAATCTAAATGTTGTATTTTGAAAGAATGGTTTCACTTTTTGAAAATTTACAGAATACAAAAAAATAAATAAAAATCTGCATTTTCTAATCGGTGTTTCATTAGAAAAATATAGTTCAACCTTTTTTTTTTATTGATATTTTGTTTTGTGCTAGTACTGAATTAATAGAAAACATGAAAAATTATATGATTTTAAAATGGAGAAGAAAAAAAGCCTTTATGTTCCATTCAATTTAGTTTATTTAAATAGCGTCAATTCAACACATATCATCTCAAGGCACTTTGTTCACCAGATCATCCAATCAAATTGATTCAAAGTTTTCTATCTAAGGAAAACCAGTTGATTGCATCAACTGGTTTACTTGAAGGCAATCCCTCACACTAAGCATGCTTGTAGCGACAGTGGAGAGGAAAAACTCCCTTTTAACAGGAAGAAACCTCCGGCAGAACCAGGCTCAGTGTGAGCGGCCATCTGCTGAGGCCGACTGGGGTTCAAGGAGACAGAAGCAAAGATAGAAAAGGCAGCTGTAAAAGGCGACCCAATCCAGGAAACACACAGCCAGCTCCCATGTCAGAGGATGAAGACGGCACATCCAGTTAGTCATGGTTTAGACAGTTATATGTTTGTTTAGGTCATTTAATTTAATCTAGGGTTGCCCTATTTTAGTGATAGCCTCTTCCCATCAATTTAGATCAGCTTTTAACTCTAACCATAAAATAATTTAATAAAATGACTCCTACAGCATGATGCTGCCACTACATTTCCCCATGTTAATGGCACATTAAAGATACATTGTTTATAGAGTATTTCATCTTTTTTATGTCAGCTGAAAGTTGGATTTTGGCTAAATAAGTCTCTAATAATCCCAAAGTGGGGTGGTCCTCCTAATAAAGAGCTAAAATTAGGATTACTACAGTTAAAAGGTGGCAGTCTTAAAATGCCATGGATTGGGGCTCATGAAAACTTTAATGTTTTTGTAAACCATAGGCTTCTCTGTTTAGCAGGATTATACCATCCTCTTAGGTTTGCAGCAGATATATATAGATATATGTATATATTTCTAGTCTTTTTTTTTTTTTTTATGAGTGATGAGAATCTTTCACCATTTCAAAGAACACCATTTTCTGCTACTGCAGTTTTGTTTTCGGGTTGTTTTTGTTTTGTTTTTTGCTGCATTTCTGTTTCATTCATAAATTTTATTTCCACCTTTGTTGCATTCTTGGTGCTTTTGCATTCGTTTTTTTTTTTGCCCATGTTTTGGAGTTTGGGTCGTTCATGTCTCTGCAAGGCATTTGGTCGTCTGTGGCTCATTTAGTCGTCTGCACCCTTTGGCCACAGTATAGATTCTCCGTCATTTTTAATGTTTCAAAATTATCCTAAATTTATCTCGTCTGCCGTGTTTCTTGTTAATGGTGCTTCTGGTTTATTCTTTTGCATTGCATAACATTGTTTTACAGAACAGCTGGATTTATACCAACATAAAATCACCCCAGATGAGCTCTATTATTGATAAGGACTTTGGAAGGCAGTCAGTCACTCTGGACTTTATTTAGGGGTATCAGTGAAAGCTAGACTGATTATAAGAACCTTCAGATTTGTGTTAAGTAATGCATCACATTTCATCTACGTTAAATCTATGCAATACCCTGTTTGTAAATTAGATCCCAGTAAAACACACTTAGGTTTCTGTTTTTATTATATTGAAACGCACAAAGGATTCATGATTATGAAGCTGAATTTTTTGCAGGAAGTTAAATGAACTGAAGGTAGTTTTCCTGTTGGCCAAAGCGTGACAGAGTATTAAGATAAAGGAGTTTGACGGTGACGTCTGTGTGTCCGCGACCTGTAATAGGAAAAATGTATTAATTCTTTGGCAGCGGCTAATCTAAAGAAGCTGCAATAACTTAGAAGATGAGATGAATCTATGATAGAACATGTTTGATCACTGAATGGCCCCCAGTTATCTTCAATTAGAAAACTGTAGCTATGAAGTAGAACTGTGCAGAAATGTGTTGTGGGAAAGACTTTCTGATGAACCTTAGCAGACGTGCAGAAAACGAAGCGCAGCACAGAGAGGTAAAACGATAAGCAGGAGGTTTTATTGAATATTTAAAACATATTCAGGTGTAGCTCGGCCCATATCTGAGGCGTCCCTTCCTTCTCTGGCCACAGGTCACTCGCTCTGCGGTCTGGCTTGACGCTGGCTGACGAGTTTCCACAGGTGCTGGCTGATGGCAGATGGCTGCTTGTAGATCATTCGCCGGTCTGCTCCTTTTATGTGAACGTGATTGGCCGATGGGTAGGATTCCTTCAGAAACCTCTTTTGATGTCGGGCTACCATCTGGTGCAGGAGGAATATGATTTACAGTGTTACTGGAGCATTGTTCATTTACAGCAGAGGAAGTGGAGCAGCCGCAGCAAACACTCACTTGGTTCAGGTGTTCTGGTATTTGCTCGTCAAACAGCTCCCCAGTCAGCATGCTCACCGTTATCTTGCTGGAGAAGGGTTTAAACTTTGTGATGTCCCTTTAAAAAAAAAACAATATTAAAACATAATGACGTATCTGGTGGATTTTATATACAGAAACAAGCTGTTGTACATGTTTATCTATTCTATGGAGTGAATGTTGTTTCGTTATTTTTGCAAACAAAGGACATGTTTTGTAAATATAAATAGAAAGGAAAAAAACACATTACTTTATTTAAAACTGAAAGAAGCAATCCAGAAAGAAATTTCAAATTTCCTTTTGCGACTTTTCCCTGATTTTATTTTCCCAAATACTTTTTCAAATAGTTTTTATCCCATTTTTTTCATATTTATTTTGTACATATCTATTTTTTCCATTTTATTTATTTAAATTCATTTTTTTAAAATTACATCGAATTTGCTAATTTTCATTTAGAATTGCGTTTCATAGATCAGATTCTCTTCCCTTCTGGGGGCGGGCTTTCCCCCGGAGTGAGGAGCGAAGAATCATTTCTATTGGTCAGCTGGGCCTTAGCAACAACATCGTATTGGTCGATGTGCAGGTCACTAGCGGGTTTGAAATGGTCTTAAAGTGAAGAGACTGATCTCTAAAATGCCATTTGAAAAGAAGGCAATTCATAAAACTTCATTTAAAAAAGGAAAATTTTATTTAAAAAAAAATGAAAATTACACACACATATGAACACGGACAGACAGACAGACGGACGGACGGACGGACGGACGGACAGACAGACAGACAGACAGACAGACAGACAGACAGACAGACAGACAGACAGACAGACAGACAGACAGATAGATAGATAGATAGATAGATAGATAGATAGATAGAAAACCTTTTGTTGATTAAGATGATTTTCAAACTTTAATTTCTGCATATCATTTTTCTTTTTTAATTCAAATTAAAACATAATTGAACAACATTCACTCCATACGTACCTGACTTGAGCAGCACTTTCATTCATGAAATAATGCTCGTCCACTGCACTGCTTTGGTGGGCTGGGTTACTAAGGAGGTACTTCTATAAGACAGAGACGGGAAAAACAGATTAGCCTGATGATAATTATTCAGAAAAAAATCTGTTAAATAATTGAAATCAACTTCAGAAATGTATTGAAGGAGAAACCAAAATATATAAATCTATAATAATATAACTACAAATCACTTTTTTAATTGAGTGCGTAAACCGTCAAATTTTCAACCCCTTACTTTTTACATAGTTCTTTATTATTTTCACCAATCAGTTGTTTTAAACACGTTGCTTTTCAAAGTTCCTTACACATTTTTGTGTTGTTTTTTAATTATTAAGGATTAAATTAAAAGACAGTAAACTTTTAAATGTGGAGCACTGTTCTTGATAATGATTCTCCCTATACATAGTTAAAGTCTTGGGTTCCTGACGTCTTCACAAAAAGTTTTGGATAAGAAGGCAAAATGCAAAATAAAAGATCCATTCAACTAATAAATGAACTGTTTGATCACTTTACCATTAAGTTTGATGGCTACCTCCCTTATATGCCATTATGCCTGGTTTAAGAAAAAAATTAAGAGGAGTAGAAATTCTGATCAAAAAAGCTTCAACATATATTACATTTTATAATGTGTTCATAGATCCTTATTGTCATTTTATAAACATTTATCTAACAGGGTTGATCTTAAGATGAACTGGAATTATAATAGAACCAGTATGTATGATAAATGTCCATGGGCGTGCTTTGGTGGTGCAGTATTTAGCTCACACAACCCATGTATGGAGGCCTTAGTCCATGACCTGGGCGACGTGGGTTCGAATCTGGTCTGTGGTCCTTTCCCACATGTCTCTCCCTCTCTCATACCCCTTTCCTGTCAGCCTACTGTACATAAAACGAGCCATTAGTGCCGTAAAAATAAAAATAAGTAAATACAATGTAAAAAATGACATGTTCATAATAAACGACTGGGAAGTTTACACGCCCTCCCAGTAATGAAAATAATAAATTCTCATTTGTGATTCCCAAAAAAACAAAACTGAACAAAGAAATAAAAAAATTACTAAACAATCATTCAGAAAAATAAAATATAGATTTTGGATTTTTGTCTAAAAAAATAATTCCCAAAAACCAAAGTGTTTCAGACAAATCAAAGTGCCTTGCTCATGAGCGGTAAACCGACATCCCTGTCAACAGGTGCAGAAGTCTGACTGAACATTTGCTGAACGAAATGTTAGTTCTGGAGCTCCATCAGGCTTGTTTACTTCTTTTATTTATTTATATGTATATGTTTATATTTATTAATATAAACACGTAAATATATATATATATATTTTTTTTTTCAATATCAATGTTATGATTTACATTTTTGTTATAACTTTTGTCAATTTCAATTTATTTTACTGGCAATTTTTTATTTTTTTTTTCCCTTTCTTTAATGAAAATGTGTGAAAACTTTATAGCAGCCCTGGATTTATTTACTGGAGATTTTTTTACGTCTCCTCAGGCAGCTGGTGTCTGGCAGAAAGCCTTCACTGCCATCCAATAATCCTAATTTAATTGAAACTTGTTTTTAATACCGATAAAAACCAGTTGAATGTATTTTTCCGTATCTGAGGGACTTTTAAAGATCCCCTCAATGTTTTCTTGAGAAGGAAATGAAATAGATTATAAACACCTGCTCTTTTTTCATTTGATGACAAACCCCTAAATGAAAAAAATTGTAAAATAAAAGGCTAAAATTTAAAATAGATTTTTGTTTTTGAAGCAGATTGCGTTATTCTGGTGCACGTTTTATGTCAGTGTTAGAATATGAACCATAAATGCCCAATTCAATAAATAAATGTACCATTTAATAATCAAAATAACATTATAAATAAAATAGGTAAATGTCATCAATAATATATTAATATAAAATGAATCTAATTACTACACTCGTTGAATTTAGAGGGAAATACAATATATTCCTAAGGGGTCTCCAGTCTGTAGCACTGATAGTTTTTGGGGTCACAGGTTGGAAAGTCCGGGTCGGTCAGCGCGGCCAGGTGTCATGCACCACAGAGAAGACGTGAACTCCCAACTGGAGCTGAATTTTCTTTACTTCCATTCATGGTCCACACCTTACTGGATCGGGGGGGTTCAGATCCCATTCATTTCATTACAAACAAATCTGGTTCAATTAGGCTGCTTAGAGAAGCTGCCCTTGAGAAAAGGGCCGCCTGCTCTATTGAGCCTGGCATGCTTGTATCCATGTCTTTCCGCCTCTGTGTGTGAGTGTGTGTGTGTGTGTGTGTGTGTGTGTGTGTGTGTGTGTGTGTGTGTGTGTGTGTGTGTGTGTGTGTGTGTGTGTGTGTGTGTGTGTGTGTGTGTGTGTATGTGTGTGTGTGTGTGTGGGTGTGTGAACATCATAACCTTCACTGGCCTGACGACAAAATCCTTTTTTTTGTCCTGTCCTTGGAGAATTCAAGCACAATGATGTCCTTGTCTCCTTGGCAACAACTGAAATGCTTAAAAAGCTGAAATAGGTCCCCCATCACTGCTGCCATCGAGTTGTGGGTGGCTGGCAGCAGAGAACAAGGCGTCTTAACGAACTCTTAACACTTCAGGCAATACTTCATCGCATCCCAGAGACAGCAGCAGGGAAACGGTGGAATGGATCTCTGAGAGGCTGTTTTCAATCGATAACCTCAGCACCTCTCAGAACGCCTTCTCTAAAAGACGCGGCTTGGTCTGCGTCCGTTCCTGCTCTGCTTTTAGCCGTTTTCACAGGTTTTCTAAAAACGACCACAGGACTCTGAGACAAGAGGGGCCGGAAAATGATTTACAACACATCTGAACGTGGAGCTAAAAGGAGATAAATATAATCTGCAACACAAAGAGCAGAGCTTAACAGCTGTATCCTCTCAATCTGTATGACCTGTCAGAAAGCTGTCTAACATCCCCGGCATCAGCAGACAAATACAGTCCGTCTGCTGCATCATGTCAGCCCTCAAGAAGGCGAAGCGCTTTTCTTTTAAACAAAAAAAAAAAAAAAAGATGTGTGTGTCACATCCAGCAGGATTCTGTGTGTCTGACAGTTTGGAGACAAACGCTCCTGCAATCATCACCCACTCTTCTATCTGGGCTGAGGAGGAGGAGGAGGCGCGATTATTCTCCCGCTAGCACCATCCAGTGGCTGCACAGGAAACACAACAGGACCCTACTGCAGTCTATCAATGTTTATCCATGTATTATGACAGAACAGTTCTCTGCAGGGAACCGCTGGAAACTTTTTATTTATCCCTAAAGTTTAAACCTAAATAACAAACAGCTTCCAAGCTTTAAGCTCACAGTGAAGTAAATCCTGACCTGACGCTGCATGACCTCCTCAGTGAGGTTTTCTCCCTTTAGCACCGGCTCCATGGCCCCCAGGATGATCAGCATGCGGCTCAGACCCGTGGCTGCTGAAAACTGACGGACCTGGAGAGAAGGAAGCAGCCTCCCATACCTGAAACAGGTGAAGAGACATAGATCAACAACTTGGAGGAGGGTTCTGTCCACCAATGCTGTCCTATGAGGAGCGTTAGCTTGTTCAGATTGAGCTGCAGCAGAAATGAAAGTCAACAGAAAGCTTTAACAACATAAATGCACCATTTTTCTATTGCAAAATATTGCGTGAAGGTTTGAATGTTCTTCCTTATCTAAATAATCAAGTCGATCTAAGCAGTTCACTCATAAAACCAACTCTGCTCATGTTTCAAACTTTCTTAAGAGAATAAATTTGCCTGGGAATAAAAACTCCCCTGCCCTTTTTTGGCAGATGAGAGAAGATGAGCTGCATGATTTTGTAACTCAGGAGGCCCAATCGGTTTCGGCTCACTGGTGCTCTGAATTGGCTAGTCTCAGCCTGTGGAGCCCAATCAATAGCGTGGCACGACAGCTGGCGACATCGTCCGCCTTTACATGCAGCAGATCTTCGCCCTGCTTGTCCTGTGAGCCTCATCCTCGTCTCTGCCTTATCTGACCGCCGCTGGATCGCAGATGCTCGCAGTTCAAACACCTAATAAATCAATTTCGGTTCTCATCTTGCTTCTAAAGTTACAGCCCAGTGAAGAATGAGGAGGATTGGTGGTTGATAGTTTAAAGTGTGGCCCAAGAAAACAGAGAAAAAGATTAGATTTAAAGTTAATCGTTTCATTTCAACATTTACCAATAAAGAAACACAGAAAAGTTTTCAGAATGTTGTAATTTAGTTCTTATTGTTCTTATTGAACATCTGCAAACGCTGCATCTGTAGGATTTTAGAGGAAAAAACCTGAAGAAACAACGATCAACAAGTGCCATCATAAAAATGAGGCTTCATGATGACAGCAATTATCAACCTGCAGAACTACAGGCCTATTTCAAACCTCCCCTTCAACAGTAAGACTATCATAAACTATGTTTGTCTTCCAGTCAGGCTTCTGTTCTCAGTCCAAGACAGAGAGCTACTGAACAATGAGTTCTTTGACATCTGTAAAAATGCAGACAGTGGAAAAACTGCTGTGCTGGTTTTATTGGACCTGGGTGCAGCATTCCACACTGCTGGTCGCTGCATTTCATTGCAGTGGCTGGAAAACTGAGTCGGTCTTTCTGATCCAGCACTGGACGGGTTTAAATCCTACATGAAGGACGGCAACCTTTTTGTATCAGTAGGTAATCAGAGATCACTAAAAATGACATGTGGAGTTCTCCAAGGGTCCATCCCGGGACCCCTCCTATTAAATATCGACATGCTCCCTTTACCTCAAATTCTAATAAAGAGCAACATAGGCTACCATACAGAAACCGCTCTTCAACTACATAAATGAAAATGTCCCTTATAATGAATAAATATGACCTGAAATAAATAGATGTAATATTTATTTATCTACATTATATAAAAAAAACATTATAATTCCAATTTTAAAATGCACTTTTAAGATTAATAATTAAATATCCCTTTAAATAAACAAAATAGAATTCAAATTATATCAAATTCAATAATTCAGAGCTTTAACAAAAGTCATATATTTGATACATAATTACTTTGTATTCATAACCTACGGAGGGTGATTAGTGGATACTGAAACAGTAAATAAATACAGAATTTACTTCATAAATACGTAATTAATTACATTGGATCAAATAAATATAATGGTTTTATTTTAAAAAAGTGAATATAATTTTTTTTAATGATTTAATAAGTTATTTCATGTTCATGCTCTTAAGGAGAGGCGGCTGGCCAATAGAGGGCGCTGTCCCACTCCCCCAATGACCTTGATTAAGACGTACAAAATCACAATATTTGAAAATATACTTTTTAGATGTGCAAGATAAATATTACATTTTTAATGAGGTATAAAGCTGTTTCGTTCATCGTCAGATTGGTGACCTATTTCCGACCTTGGGGGCGCAAACATCTTTGCCCATAGAGTTTGGTTAAAAGTTGTTTATGCGCAGTAGCTCCTCCGCAATACACAACCATAGGACCATCTGAGGCGCAGCTCTCCTCTGCCCAGAGCTGATGGCAACTTTATTTGCAACATTTTATTTTTGCCGGATCTGGTATTTTCTGCTCTGTAGAACGGAAAAATATGCGAGGAACAATATTATTTCAGCAATAGCTCATTTATTTTAGTGTTTACATCGGAGGCATTGTGTTTTAATTAAGTGAGCTTTTTATTGTGACCACCAGGAACTTCATAGCATTGTTGGCTAATTTTGGCTAATTTTTAATGTTTGACTTAAAGAGTTTTCCTTAAAATGTAAGGGGTTATGGGGCTTGTTTTAGATAACAGTCCAAATTATTAACTACCGGTAATCACAAAGTTCTGATGATTTTGTTGGTTTTATTTAATTTGGAACAGTTTTTTGGGATCCGTGGCTTATTTTGTATACAGAACCTAAATTGAAAGCAATTGAATGATCAATTTGATGATGATGATTATAAATGAACCCCATGAAACCCCCAATGAATCCCAATTTAAGGACCCTTTGGACTTGTGAAGGACTGAAAGTATTAAACTTGTCATTGCTAATTGTTTATTCTATTTTGTCCTCTTCTGACTGTTAATATTTTTTACGTTTGTTTTGAAAATTTATATATTTTCAATTTAAAACTTCACATTTGTTGTCGGTCTTCATTCACCTCCCAGGCTCCATTACGAACCAGTCTTCTGATGCTATTAACCCTTTTAAAGCTTAACCAATAGAATTACATGACGCTTTCTTCTGATTTCCTCCTTTGCCTCCTTTTTCAAACGATCTGACCAGCATGCGTTAAGACAGCTATGACTGATTTAAAGCAATTTTCAGATAATTGTTTTTGTTTGTTGTATTTCATTGTTACAGAAGCATATTGCATTCACCAAAAAAAAAAATAAAAAATCAGACAGCTTATCTCATAATTGCGAGATCTGTACCTCGTAATTATGAGATCTTTTCTAATAATTATGAGATCTTATCTATATATTTGGTCATGATTACTTGAGCCAGTAATGTAGCATCTCTCAGAAAACTGGTCTTCATGATCATTTCTTAAAAATATCTGCACGTTTCACTGAACAGTTCTCTGTACCGAGGTCTGACCTGATACGCGTTGGAGTTCCGCTCCTGTTTTCCACTTCATCAATAAAGTACCCAGCTATAACCCTGGGATTATTACTTGTGGGAACGCCTATTAAACTCGTGTGAGAGCGTGCACGAGCCCATTGCTCCTCGTGCACGCTCTGTTTAAAAGTTTCTGCTTGCATTGCTCATACATGCTTACAATCCAAAAGAAGATTTGCAATTTTTCCCACTTTGTCAGACTCACCACCGATAGGTGAAAATGGGGTCGAGCACGTAGGGCGGCCTTACGTAAATATATCACCAGAATGATTGACAATTAGGAGAACCACTTATTTAGATGATCCACCCCGAAAAATAACATCCTCCTCTATATCTTTAATTTAAATAGTCAAACATCCAAGTAACAAGTAAAGGAGGCGGGACTAAGACTACTTAGATAGAAACCCTGGCGTCTGATTGGCTTCTTCTCACTGAGCAAGGTTAGAAACTTCTCCCTGGTTTGATTTCACTTTGACGTCAATATTATCGCTGAAATTGGTGGAAATAACTTCAATAAATATTGCAATTTATTCTCAGCACATTGGGTGAGCAACTCCAGACTCTATATCCCTGGTTTGGTCTCAAATAGATCTAATTAGGTAATGAGAGAGCGTGCTGTGGTCTAGTGTGGTGAGGGCTTATTAGAGATCAAACTGGGTAAAACTTCCTAGTTTTCTTAGTTCAATCAGTCTAACAAGGTTAATAAAGAGATCAACCTGTATCAGTCGATCTCTAGCTTGGATGGAGCAGTTCACACATGCAAAACCTTTTAAATAAGCTCTGCACACACTATTCCTGAGCTAATCTGAAGGGAACCTGATATTTGGAGGTTTGTACGTAGTAACCGATTCTGCAGAAAGCTGTAAGATAAACTGCTTTGTTGGAATTTGCAAACCTCCATAAAGTGAAGTTGCAGAAAGGATGGGCTGAATAACCTGTATGAAGACTTGAGAGTTTGATCAATTCAGACTGAAAACCTACTGATTTTTACTTTTAAAATTTTTATTGTTAAGGATGTTTTTTGTGTTTCACGCTCCTGAACAGATTTAAACAGTTTTATAGCAGAGTATTTACCAGAAGGCTTTTATGAACATGCACAAATGATCTTTGACGGCGTAGAAATTAAAAAGCACCTTTTTTAAACTCAACTCCTCAGCTTTAGCATCTGATTGCTTATCACTAATCAACCCGATCTGTTTTCTTTTGACACCAACATGCTCCGGATGCTCCTGAAACCAGCACTTCTTCTGTCCCTTTATTCCGCTCTTATCAAACCGCTATCATAAACATGCGCTTTTCATGTGTAAAATAACCCCTTCCACCTGTGGTTGATACGACATGTTTCTACATAAACAACTGTGGCTAGATATACCAGTACGGCTCTGACAAAGCGTGTCAGCGGTGATCGGTCTGATAAAGACCAAACAAATAGTGGAGACTATATTTGACTGTTACACCCAGCTATGTAAGATAACATGTCCGCCTTATTCATGGTAGAGAGAAAAAAAAAAAAAGAGTCCTTTATGGACAATAACAGCTGTAGAAGACGGGGTAGAAAAAACAAGCGGGATGTAATAATTCAGAGTCTTTGTTAGACGGAGAAAACTTTGTATATCAGGATTGTGAAGAGTGACGCTTTGACATTTTCATCTTCCTTTCCACAGTTTTCCTCAGAAGTCATTCTGGCAACACAATTTGGAGCTGACTGCTCGACCCGGCTCTTAAGAGACATCTCAGTCTCTGCACATTTTCCACCTGTCACCCTTCTCCTACCACTTGGTTCCAAAAATAAAAAATAAAAAGAAATAAAGAGAGAGAGAGAGGGGTGAGGAAAGTGTGTCCCTATCAGCCAGCCCAGCTCCAATCTAGTCAAATCAT